AAACGTGTCTTATTAGTACACAACTTGTTCTGTAAACCTCACGATATCTGACATTTAACGCCAAGATTTGATGATTTTCAAAGAGAAGATTCTGGCTTTCAGGCTTTCGCGATTGTTAACAAAGAAATCCGCGGTTATTCAAAGACGAGTCTTTATATTATATTTCACGATGAAATCATTCTTGTTTCTTTTTTGCAGACGTCGAGTGAAACGGCGCCCAATTTTGCAGAGGAGTTAGCCAAGCGATTGGGCACCGTACGCCAAGCGCAGAAGCCCGCCGCTGTGGATGAAAGCAGCGAATCGTCGATTAATCGATTCAAAGGTATGCGGTTGACATCTTCGTCGCGAATACGCAAGTTGTAAGTATTTGCGAATTTTTCTTGACCGTTAATTTTTTCTCAGACGATCTGTTCGCGTCCGAGAAGGATGAGGATGTGTTCAACGGCCCCGACAATTTGTTTAGTGATAAGAAGGGTCTCTTCGACGATCAGGTGTCTGCGAATCTGTGGAAGGACAAGCCGATCAAGTCTTACAAGAACAGTAATATTATACCGGCCAGTATCGACGTGCCGCCGCCGATTAGTATAGTTTGTAAGTATAATTGCACTTGCATTCTCATTTCGTAATAGATTTGTCTCGCCTGATTCAACCGCGCTTTCAGCGACCAAGCCAAAGTCTGCGATCGACGATCTGTTCGCCGACGCCGATTCGGAGGAAGATTCGGATGACATCTTTTCGTCGAAGAATGTCGTCAAGAAACGCGCGAAGGAACCTCCTGCGAGCGTCGACGACGTGCCGAAGAAATTTTTGAACCTTCCAACTGCCGACAACGTTGCTACGAGCACACCAAAGTCCAACGTCGACACAAGCCTGTTCAGTGACGACGAGAACGACGATGCAGATCTGTTTGGCAACTCCAAGAAGCAATCTCACAAACCTGCGAGTGCGCCGTCGTCTACAAACACGACTCAGCAACCGGGTAAAAAGGTAAGCTGCCGGGATTAATCGTTTTCCATACAGTCAGATTTTAACGAATGTTCAATCGACCTGCTCTTATTGCCCGTTTAACTTTATTCAAACATAATTCCTGACATTGTTACATGCACATTTTAAGTTAATAATTTAAACGTTCATGTATTATTACACCGATCTCGTGTGCGATAAAAAGGAAAACTGGTTGAAACGATATGAAGATAAAATTATATTGTTATCTTACCCCTATGATTTATTACCATTATAGTACTCTGTTGAACTGTAACAAGAACAAAATCTTTATCTCTGAGAGTGCGCTCTCTGATGAAGGCTGAAATAAATTGCAGAAACCTGTCGGGGGCGAGTGGATATTCGGCAATGTTTCGGCGTCGGACATCGAGAGCAAGCTGTCGAGCCGGATACTGCAACGACGACAAGAGTCGTCGGAATCGGATAGTGACGCACCCGGAAATTCTGATAGCGCGACATGGAGCAACGTTGAGGCGGTATCTGCGGCCACGAATCGCAGCCCGCAGGTTTCTACGGAGACTATATCTCCAATTATCGGAATCACCACCGCCAACAGCAGCGGGATATCGATGCAGCCGCCGGGCATCGACAACACAGGATCCGGTTTGGGGTGAGTTGTCGATCCTCTTTTTTTTTTTCTTTTCAGATTAATTTGGATTACTATCATGGAAGTGCTCGGAGTTATTCCGTTTCCCCGAGAAGGCCGCAATAGAAATCTAGGAAATAATTGAACAGTTCTGATCGAAATCAATTCCGAACATTTCCACGATAGGAGCCTAGGGTGTTCTACAATTGAATAGAAATACGTATCCCAGTCGCTACAATATTCAGTAACGCAAAGATCGCTGCCTTCCTTTATTTAAGCCCGTTCGCATCGCTTAACTTCAATTTTAGCCTAATTCACTCTTTGTCTAAGGGAGACAGAAAGAGACGAATAGTGAATTAAGCTAAAGTTCCGTGAAGTTGGTGCAACCGGGCCTTAGACGGTCACATATTTCTTTGCCGGCGCGCATTTTAAAGCGTCAAATTTTCAGATTTCCTAAAAATTCTGTCCAACTTCGGCCCGAATACTCGGATACTGAATGCGTAAGGGGACGTCAATCGCGCGCATTAAACGTAGACGTTAACTGCTTAAATTGACTGGCTCTCAGGTTGTTAAGTTACATTCCGCGAGTGGAAACGATCCGATGACATACGATACTGACGTTTCCCCGAGGTCAGCACATAAACAAAGAGAAGAAGCGTGTGTGGCTTTATTGCGTGCTCACTAAGTGGATGAGCTAACGCCGCATCCAGAATGCAAACGAGACTCGCCGCGTCGTTTCTCTCCGCGCCAGTCCGCGCCCGAGACCAACCGGAGAGATAGTTTGTCGGCGCGTTAAAGAAAGGGAGAGAGACGTCAGTCCGGATTTTTCATTCCGTAAACGTGGATACCGGCGCACCGCTCCCTTTCAGCATACGCGCGCCAAATACCTATGGTGTCATTAAATCGATGACCCAAACATTAGTCATTCGCCTTGCCCATTACGCGCGACTACAAGCGAGCACCGGTTCAAGGCGAGCTTCTCTTCACCACGGCCGAGTGTATTGTCGCCTGTCGTTGTTGACTTGCCGTTTAATCGTCACGAAGTGACTGGATACGCGAGAATTGTGAGTGCTTCGATATGGAGTGACTTAAAAGGAAGGAAAAAGAATGTTTAACTGCAAAGCGTTTGCGAGATATTGTGCGTGGGGATCGGAGATTGTTGCGTTACTATTCTCCGAACTTGGACGAATGGCAGGCAGGTAGAAAACGCGAATGGCGCGAGTCGTGCTTTGATGAATTCGTGCCGAAGCGAGCGTTTATTCGCTTTCTCGAAAGGGCGCTGTGTATTATAATTTTCCGCTGACTCCGCTTTTCCGCTGAGAAATGAATGGTAAGCACGCAGGAATTGTAAGGCAATGAAAATCGGTCAGGCGAACGGGTTCGGGCGAAAGCGGCGTTTACTCGGCGGTGGTGAGCTGTGGCATCGCGCTTCTTCATTCATTGAGAGAAATTTCACCGGAGAGTGAGGAGATCGCTCGAGAGGGAAATGGTTTCTGTGTTTTTGTACGGAAGTGCGAACTGAGAATAGTGAGCAACGGAGAATACGTTTCCGGATAAACTCTCCGGTTGCGCGTTATCGCGCGAGGAGACATCGGAGACAACTTCATCCAGCAGCGATAAACAAATAGGCAAGAGAGTGAGAGAGAGAGAGGGAGAGTGTGTGTGTGTAAAGAGGTAGAATATACGGATTTAGGAAAAACGGTATTTATTTCTAATAATATCTCCAGGTGGAAAATGTCCCGTCACGCGAATTCCAGTTATGGCAAAGCATAGGGCTTGAGGAGATAATTATGATTGTCCTTGCGATTATATGGTATACCTTCACAGATCGCTTGTGGACAACAGTCCGGATATTCCAGGCCCTCGGTTTCTGGCTGAAAACCAATTTGTCTCATCCCCGGATTACAAGGCATCGGAGGGCATCTGGAAAGAAACGGAATAAAATTAGATTACGAAACGGAGCGCCGACAGAACATTTGTATTAGTATTGAAGTTACGGGGGGATCGAGGTAATCAAAAGATCGTTGTGACCAGCCAGTTCTCCCGATTACAAGATCAGGCATCAAAAGTCGTCATTTACATGCGTGAGGGGACGAAATTTTATTTCTTATTTCATTCCCCCGGGTAGAATTTTTCATGAAATCTTACATCTTATATTAAGTTAGGTCAGGTGTATAATTACAGCCATGGACAAAATTATTAGGCACCCTTCTAATCGTCACACTGCAAATCTGATTGTGAGTGTATTACTTTTATACACATACATGTGTAATTTGGTCAAGCACTTTTCGCACGCTCTCTTCTGTTCAAAATCGCGACACGTGACTTGATAAACGTCATTTACACATTTCGTGCCGTTTAAAAATAATCTTTTTAAATAGCAAGAAATGTGTAAAACAATATATCAAGTCGCACGTGATTTTAAACGAAGAGAAGCGTATAAAAAGTGCTTCGCCAAATTACACATGCGTATAATAAAGTGACATTTAGATTTCCAATGTATACTGTATTAAATCTGATAGCCGAAAGATTTTTATTGTTTAAACGTTGTTTACTGTATAGAAGCGATGAACGCTCTTGTAAACAATTTTTTTTTTAACTGAAAATTTCCAGTACAGTATAATAATTAGGAGGGTGCCCAATAATTTTGTTAACGGCTGTATGCAACGCTTTTTGTTACTCACGAGAAAAGTGTTATTTGGCCGTTCGGGCCACAAGCCAGCCTCATGCACGGGGGAGCCGTGTGCCCACCCACGGACAAAATCCGAGATCCAAATAAGCAGCCACCTGAAAGTATATCTCTGCGGTAAAACTCGGAAGTGTTATCCGAAGAATACGATGCGGAAGCTCTTTCATTCTCCGAGTTATTGTTACAGCGTTATTACCGCGTAGTCACACTGATTCCTGAATCGTGGGACAATGGCATTTTCATGAGCTGTATGAGAGTTTTGTGAAAGTTTACCATACATTCTACTAGTGAAATGTATTGTAAGTGTAATTAGTAGTAGAGCGTATGGTAAAATTTCAAGAAAACCTGTACAATGTTTCGAAATGCCGCGTTGTTCCGCGATTACATAATTTTCAGGATAAACTAAAAGAAACTCTCTTCGTGTAGTCATCTAGTTTGCAAATTTTCATTGAAATGTCGAAGTGGCGCACAAAGTGTGTACGTGTGCGACAATCTTTTCACGTGGCACAAAGGGTAGCAACGGCGATAACGCATCGTTCGTAAACTGGCTAAATTATTCTGGCCACATTTGTCTCGCAGCATCCTTAGCAATGTCTTTCCCTGAGCGACAATCTCCGAATCGGCGAGTTATACCTGCACATACCTTGTACTAGCATGGCAGAATCTGCATACGCAAAGTATGCGAAGTGAGCCATTCCGCACGTCACCAGCAAGATCGCGCAGATGTAACCCTTCATTTTACCTCTTTTTACTTAACGAGTCACCAGGAAGTAGAGACGACACTAAAATGTAAAAAAAAAACCACGATTTTTATATCATTTTTTCCTCCATTGTGGGTATCCAAGGGAACGTCTGATCCTCTGTTCTGCACGAACAGGCACGAAGCAAAACGTGCGATATCACACGTGGCGATAGCAAAATGATAAAAAAGAACAAGGAGGATCATATTAACATTGAACTCGCCGGCATTAATTAAACACAGCGTGTTACGACCTTATTTTTAGCACCGTTGAACGTAGAATTATCCCGTTTTACCTCGCATGGTGCGCTAATTACTAATTAATGGATCAATCATATTCGTGCGCTTGCGAAATTTTGTTGCTGAATTAGCGGTCTCTGTTTTATGTATGTGCAAAACGTGCCCTGATAGAAAACTTGTTTCAGTTTTCGCTGATTGAACGTCTCGATTGAGATATTCGGCTCGCCTTGACACAAAGTCTAAAAAGATAATGTTCATTTGTCATAACGATTTCGATCCTTTTTCGACAGAGAGAGGGGAACGACAGGTGTTTCTTAATCTAATTTTTATATCTTGTCCCTTTACACGGAAAGAACCGAGCGCGCCAGATTGAACAGAAAAACAATTACACAATAAATCGAAATACATAATAATTTTTTTCTCTACATATAAGCGCGATTTATTTCTCGATTGGAAGGCGAGTAGCGTTATCGCTCAGCCCATAAAATAGAGACACTCAGTCCTTTTTTTTCCCCTCAGGATCTTCCAGCCGCAGATGACCTCGACGAGGCTCCAGTCCGAGGAGATCTATCGCGAGCGTATCAGCAGCGACAGTCTGTTCGCGGCGCGAACGCGTCATCCCGGCAACGTCAACGCGGCGAACGCCAACAGTGACAACCAGCAACAACAGCAGCAACAACTGGGACAGGAGCAACAGGATATTTCGTCGGTGCAGTCGCACGACGACGTCTTCGAGAACGACGACCTGTTCGGACCGCCGCCGTTGCCCAGTAAATCGGACTCGAGGCGAGCAGGTAAGTCGAAGATCTCGTCGCTCTTCGACGACTCCGATTCCGGCGACGAGCTCTTCTCCGCCGCGAGCTCCGGCTCCAGATCGCAGAAGAGCACGGATTTCCACGCCACGGTGCCGTCGCACGAGCGGACGAAGCCGGCCCCGAAAAGCAGCGGCCTGTTCGACGACGACGTGGACATATTCGGCGGCAGGGACGCCCCGGACGTCGATATATTCGGGGTGGCATCGAAACCGGGCCCGAAGGACGCCGCACCGAATGGCCTGGACTCGGTAGCGCCGAGGAGCAATAAGGGTAAGTGGAGCACATGCCTTCGATCTCCCGTATGAATTACGTTTCGCTTCAAGGCGACGTAACGTGGATGTGTACTTTGTTTTTCCACTGCGATCTTAAAACACGAGAATTTTATTTCATTTGTGAAGTTTTATTAATTATAATTTTTGAGAATTGTGAAAAGCGCCGTATTTTTATGTAAAAGAGGTAAGAGTACTCTGCCTTATTTTAATTCGGGAATATGACGGACATTGCGAACGTTTGTTCGCGAAGTAAAGAAAATTTGCATAATTACACGTTTTCTCGTAAATGTTATGCTTCGTGAAAACTTGAAGAGGATGCTTAATAAAAGAAAATATCCAAATTGTTAGATAATTCGCAAAACACGAAGATGGAACCAAAGAAGATCAGTTTGTTCGACGACGACGACGACGATGGCGATCTATTTGGCGCGAAGCCGATGAAGTCAAAGAACGAACGTAAGACTGATATCTTCAAAAACGAGGATGATCTGTTTCTATCGGCCGAGGCTGCCTCGATAGAGAAAACTGAAGAAGTTAAACCAAAGACCGACGTCTCCAAGAACGTCTCTAGTCTCGAAACTGAAAAAAAAAACAGGAACGACCCTCCGGATTATTTGGACGGACTATTTTCGAAAACCACGAGGCCCCGCAGTCTTCTGTTCGAGGACGACGATTACGACGATCTTTTCGGCAGGAAGGATACAGCGTCGCACGAAGGCGACCGATCGAAATCCAAAGAAGAGGCCGGGAAAGAGGTTGCCAAGCAGGCCCAGAAACTTTCTGAAGAAAACAAAAGCTCGTTGGAGTCGTCAAGTTTAAGTCGTGACGTCAAAACGACCGCAGAGTCGAGCGATTCCTCAGCTAGGAACGACGTGCACGAGGAAAGGAGGGAGGCCGAGGTCAAGGAAACGCCTTCCAACGTCGAGGAAGACGGCACGGCGAAGAAGAATTCTCCGCCAAAAACCCTGAGCATCCGGACGATCTCACCGCCGTCCGAGGAACATGGCAATCAACAGGTACCCCGACGTTTGGTGTCCGGTAAGATAAAGAACTTAATGGGGAAGATGGGTGATTTGAAGATACTCTCGCCCATGGATGCACCGCCGTTGTGGAGGAAGAGCGAGGATAAGACGGACGAGGACGAAGACGTCGTGGACCGGGACAGCGCAGATCTGGGCATCAGTGGTCACGTTTCACCTCCGAGTGTATCAGGTAGTTGTCGCTTAACAAGATTTCTGTTGTACATCTATCTATCCGGTGGCGCTACAGTTGGTCTCCTCTAGTTTTGCTTTCAATAGGATTAATACTTTACTTAGCATATCTGTCAATCAAAATTTGTAATTGAGATAGAAGCAAAGAGATAATTTAAATAAAACAATTTTTTTTACAGAAGATAGCACGAAGAAGGAATCCTCTTACTCGACAATTTCCACCGCTAGCAATGCGGAAGCGGCCATCAATTTCGATGATCTGGCTCAAGTAGAAACGTTATCCACTACCGCGTCCAAGGTGCTTATTAAATTGAACAATTTTAATTTATTTAATCAGGTTGTGTATATATATTTACAAAAATTTCCGAAAGAGAGAAAACAGACATTAAGAAAAAGCGTAAGCTCTTGGTAAATTTCTCTGAAGTTATCTTCTCTGAAATAATCCGTTTTCGATCTTGAGATGTGACAATGTATTCTTGAGATACTTCGAATCATTCGTATTTTATCTTTCTCTTAATTCATTGTAGAGCCGAGTGAGGATTCAAGCGAAACGCCGCCCTCAAAGCCGACACGCCCGGAAATCCGCGCTGCGGCACAGTGGAATCGACTTCGACACGGTCGACAACGCGGACAACGATAATTCTCAGGAGGAGAGTTACACTAGCACCTGCTCGTCCAGCAAGGACCCATCCGCCGCTCCGACAATCAGCTCCTCCGATCGCTTGATCGCCAGTGACAATGTTCAGCGCTCGACGATTGATCCTTCTTCCGTGGACGACAGATCCGAGCTGGGTAGCATCAGCAAAGAGAGTTCGATGAGCGTAAACAAGAATACTCTTCTGTCACCGTCCACCGACGAGGAGGACTTGTTCGACGTGCCACCAGATTTGCCCGAAGACCCGCAAAAGGAGGACGCGTTATTTGGCAGAGCGCCGATACTCTCACCGATCGATGGCGGGCAATCGGACAGAACGCCCGTTGCTGCCGAATCTTTAGTGGATACCGAGATTAGAAAGGTCAACGACATTGATGTCGACGTGAATGCGAAGAACAACGAAAATGATGAACAGAATTCTAGGGAATCGGTGCAATCAGATTTTGCTATTAATTCAGATACTTTGAGGAGTACCAAAAAGAAAGATGATCAGCATAAGGAAGCTGATGAGCGAGGCGAGGTGAGAAGAGTGTCCAGCGAAGAGCCGAGTGATCCTTTGCGCGACAGCACCCACGATCCGCTGAAGGATCCTAGTCAGTTGTTTGCGTTTGTCACGAAGACGCCATCGCCAGAGAAAAGCAAGGGTCTGCTATTTTCTGAGCCGGATGACAGTCTCTTCTCCAGCGGCTTGGCGAAGAAGCCGAACGAGCCGAAGAAGGAGATCTTGGATCTGTTTGCGGACGATGACATGGGCGGCGATCTATTTTCCGCGACGCCGTTGAAGAAGGCAGTGAAAAAGCCGCTGCGGGACACGAAGATCGGTCTCTTTGGCGACAATGACGACGCGGAGAACGGCGAGGACGACAGTCTCTTCGGTAACGTGTCCAGCCATGCGAAGCTGGACAGTCAACCGTCAAATCCAGCTTTTACCGGTCGAAAAAAGAGCAACATTTTCGACGACGACGAAGATGACGATTCCAGTTTGTTCGTCGAGTCGTCCGGTCATTCGCAAAAGTCGGATAGCGCATCGTTCTCGGAGCCTAAGCACGATTTTCAAGTCGATACTCAAGCCAAGAACTCGAGTTTGAAAGATATCTTCGGTAACGCGTCGTGTAACGACGATGACGACGCCGATCTTTTTACCACGAAGAAAGTTGTTCCTAAGAAAGTCGTCGCGTCGTCTAAATCCCTGTTCGCGTCGGACGACGACGACGATGATGACGGCCATATCTTCGGCAAGCAGTCATCCGCGCCGACGGAGTCGAAGGCGAGGACGACGACGGTCGCGCCGAGTTTAAGATCGGCCGTGAAGAAACCGGTCACTAGGGACCTGAAGAAAACGGCCGAGAAGATCGTCGAGGACCCGCTGAGCCTCCTTCAAGACGATTAATCCAGTTTCCTTGGGATAGATATCCCGTGAGATTTTCTGTTAGCCACGCAACGCTTAGCCACAAAAGTTCATGCGCGTCTAAGGGAGAAAGATAAGATTGAAGTACAAAAATCAGATGCCTGCCTTTTGTTCTGCCATTTGTTCAAAGGACTGTTTACCGCAACTGTATGTGACCGAATGTGTGTGTTATTAACATTAATTTAACAGTACACGACAAGCGATCATTGAATTTTCTCAACATGACATATTCAATTTTTAAGTCGGACTTGTAGACAGGTATGTGTAACGTTAAATATTTTCTTAAACATCTTAGTCTTTTTTTATATCGCTTTAATTTTTCAGAGGTATATGTAATCCTGTAGGTGGATATATGTATATAATAGAATGTTTCATTGCCGAGTAAACTTTTGTGGTTTAGGCGCATATATATTTATATATTTTTTATTTATATCATGTTAGCTCACAAAATATGTCGCCCGTCTATAATATAAAGCGTGTTGTATGTTGGAGAACGGGTAGCGTGCAATTTGCAAGCAACGAAGAATTTTATTTCTCGTACTAGCCTATATTTATTATGTCGCAAGCCATCTAGATCTGTGGATTATCTGTTTCTTTACGCGTGCCACATTACAGAGAACGTGTCTTGTCTTATCCGTCAACGAAGCTGCAATATATACGGAAGGATATCCATTTTCTCTTTCTTTTGTATCGTCTATTCGGAATACAACGAATGTGTAATTAGTTCATATCAGAATTGAGAGATATTGAAAGTACCTTCGTGAAAGACACATTTCACCCGTACAATAGATGTATATTTTCTGTAACATCCACCCTGTTTATTCCTGTGATTTACGTCATGTATATATTATTCTGATGAGTCACACACGTTAGTATAATAAACTTTATTCGATAACAATGATATCGCAATGCTTTTAATCTGGGATAATAAATACGATTTATTTCGCAAAACGTTTATGGAAATTAAAAGAGTGTAAACCTCGCAAAATATACTTTATATCAAGCGATGGTTTAAGTTGAAAAGAAACCAATTGCAGTGTGGACAGGTAGAAATAAAATTAGACAAATGTTCTCGATAAATACGTAATATTTCATATTGTATTTCGAGTAAAACATTTGTATACACGAGTATATATTACGACTAGCAATGTCATTATACGTTCATACGTTGTTCCCGAAAAATCATTGCGTATAAGCGCAATATTTGAGATAAACGAACGGGTTAACACTTTCAAAAAGTTACAAAACCTCACGTTTCCTCGCTTATCATCGACGCCGTTCGATGTACACGGAAATAAAAGGAGAAATGTATTACAGCGATATAAGCATATTGATTATGCAATTACGCGCATTACACAGCGATGTTATTTAATCGCGCAAAACTAAATCAAGAAATTTAACTTTACGTGCTTCGACGCGACAAAGAAGTGTTCATTACAGTTGCGATAGAGCTTGAAGCACGTGAGCTGTGCACTTACTTCAATAACCTGAATACGTTTACATTTCCAGTATGCATTCACTCAGTGAAAAAATAATTGGTTACAAAGATGTCGAATCGGCATCAAATGAAAATTTATTCGATACATTTTACCAATATTTCGATTCAACTATTACCAATTAATTTTCATTGAACGCTTATACGAAGTATGAGTAGTTGAAAGTCGTGGCCAAACAAACGGTTTTTAGACAGCAATCTGGATAAGGCTTGTCTCTTCTTATGCCAGCGTTTTTCTTATAGAGATAAACTAGTTTCATTGGGGGATTACAACCAACTCGAGGACACCTAAAAAGAAACAAAATTGAATTAGATTACGAAAGGAAGATTTTATACAAAATTTATATTGGCATTGAAATCATAACAGAATCTTGCAGTTGTGCAAATTCCATTCCGAAATGTAGAGTACTGTTAAATGTTTAAAGTATGCTAGTGACAGAAGGAAAACATACTTGAAAATGTGAAATAATAGTAGACTTTCTACATAAAATGCTTTTCTTTGTGATACGTCACATTTATTTCAAAGTTTACCTTAAAACCGTTAATTTTACAAGTTATTATCATACAAGACACATCGTCTCACATAATTCATATACTTTCTCTGAGACAGAGTAAAAATCACACGAAACTTTTTAAAATTCTTACAAATAGCCCTTTTCTATACCTGTTTACGAATTTGAAAGTTCGGATAATTGTGTCTCAGAATCACACGAAAATATCTTTTGTGTCTTATTTAAATTTCAGCACGGTCTCTTTTATTGATTTATAATTCATATGACAAATCGCATATCATTGTCGTCGATTACGTATCGTGAAAATTAATTAATTTGCGAATATCGAAATAATTAAAAGATCATTGTGTATATTCGGCAGTTTTAGGATTACAAGATTACGCATGAAAAGTATTCATGCATACGTTCGTGAAAGACAAAATTGTACTTTTTTATTCTTTGACTAGAATACCTTGTGGTACGTGAAATTTGATATGCAATTTACATTACAATTATACATTTATGCAAAATACTTTAACTTACGAGGTAAGCGTTATTCGACCGAACCGTTCACAATTCAGCTCTGTGCACGGCTGACTCGTAAGTGTACCCTCAGAAATGTTGCTGTAAATCGTATGTTTACCCAGACTATAAAACTTGTCTTCATATTCACAACCTAAAACATACGTGTGTTTAAAAATCTGAAAGTACTATTTGAAAAATACGATTCGAAAATTTTTATTTACTTATACGACGTATTGTATAGCAGGCCTTATTACTTAAGCCCGGTTGCAACAACGTTATGTAATTTTTAACTTTAGCTTAATTAACATTTCGTCTTTTTCCGTTTTCTTTAGAAAGAGACAAAGAGTGGATTAAGCTAAGGATAAAGTTAAGCGACGTTGTGTGCACGTACGTGACAATTCTTTTTTACGTAGCAAGAGTCTTTTGAGAGGATATTAATGACAATATCGCGTTGTTTGACTAAATCAATTTGGACACATTTATTTCGCACCATCCATAAGTGTGTCTTTTTCTCAATGACAATCTCCTAATCAGCGAATTATGTACTATACCTAAAGGGTTATCAGGATATTGAGAGTAAACCACTACGCATAAAAACAGCAAAATGGTACAGACGTAGCTCTTCATCTTGCTTTCTTGTTTATAGAGTCACGAGCAAGAAACGACAATACTAAAACTCGAAAGAGTCCATGACTTTTAAGTATTGTTTCTCCCTCCTTCATGGATCTTAGTAGAACATCTGATTTTCTGTTTTGCGATTAAAAACGTGCGTTATCGTAAATGACAATGTCGAGAAGATACAAAAGAACAAGGAAGACCAAATTAGTCTTAACGATATTATTAATTAAACACGGCGTATTACGATTTCACTTGAACGTAGTACAGTCATCTCATTTTGATTTCATGTTTTTGCGTGACTTTGTTGTTGAATTTGGTATCTGGTCTTATATGTACATGCAAAACGTGTTCGGATGAAAAACTTTTTTTTAGGTTGTTTTTTACGTTGCTGATTACACATATGAGATCAGAATTACAAAATTTATAATGGTGGATCCAACATGAACGCCTGAAAATCTGCATTTGAATTTTGTAATTCTTACACCAGAATCGTAATCAACGACCTAAAAAAACTTTTAAACATTAAATCTTAGAAACATTGATTGATTTTTGTAATTTTAAACCACCATCTTGGATATGCTATTTTGAATTTTATAGTTTCGAGAACACCAGAATGGTAACCAGCGACCGAAAAAACTTTTAAGTACTAACAATAAGTTTCAGAAAAATCGGCTGAAAGGAAAACTGTACGCTTCAAAGGGTTAATACGTATTTTTCTGTTGTAACCATTTATTTAAAAAGTTTACTTTTTTAATTAAGTAACCACACGTTGATGCTCTTTTGTATAATGCTTATGATAGTTTTATAAATAGATATTGTAATTATTTATAAGAATTTAAAAATGAGATTTAATGCATATTTAAGGTGACACAAACAAATTCTTGACAGCAATCTGGATAAGGCTTGCCTATCCTTGGACCAGCGACCAAAATTCGTTGCTCAAAATATTCACAACTAATTTCAGGGCAACTGGAAACAAACGAAATAAAATTAGATCACGAAAGGGAAATTTTGTGGATATTGACATTGAAATCATGACAGAGTCTTACATGAGTAAATTCCATATCGAAATACGAAGTAATTTTTTTAAATATGTCCGTCAGAAGAGAAAGATATTTAGAAATGTGAAATAATATGAGACGTTCTGTGCAAAATATTTTCTTACGATATATCATGTTTGTTTTAAAATTTACTTTAAAGCTGTTAACTTTATAATTTAGTGAGTATCATACGAAGTACATCGTGTCCCAGGAATCGTGTACTTTCTTTAAGAAACAGAGCAAAAATCGCATGAAATTTTTTGAACTTTCTACAAATAGCACATTTCCTGTGTTCATCCACGAATTTGATAGTTCGGAAAACTGAGTCTCAGCATCGTACGAAAAAATCTATTGTTTCTTATTTAAATTTCAGGACATCTCTCCTTTATTGTCTTATAACTTAGATGACTAATCACGTATCATTATCATCGATTACGCATCATGAAAAATTAATTTGCATTAAAGCGCAATCGATAATTAAAATATTGTAATTGTATACCCGTCAGTTTTCCCAACAAGAATAGGCATAAAAAAATTGTCCCCTATATGCATATAAGACAAATTTGTATTTTCTTTATTCTTCGAATTGACTTTTCGTGATACGTGAAATCTTATAACCAGTTAAGTTAGGTGAAATACATAATGATACAGTTTGCAGAATTATACAAAATACTTTGACTTACTCATTAAAATGTAATTCACTGTAATCGTCACATATCAGCTGTGTGCACCGGTGAAGAGTATGTGCACCCACTCCATAAAACTTGCCTAGATAGAAGCAGCCTAAAATTGTACACGTGTGTTAAAATCCGAAAATAATATCCAAAGAATACAATGCGAAAGTTGTTCTACATTTCCGCGTATTTATTCTTACTTATTGTTAGTCACATTGGTTTCGGAATGATCACCGGTAGAGTCGTCTACTGTTTAGTCTGCAAATATGTCAAATTGTTGTCGAAGTACCAAGATTGAACATAATGTTTGCACGTGTGCAACAATTCTTTTTCACGTATTAAAAGTCTTTTAGATATTAATGATATTGTTTGCAAATTCAATAACTTCATCCAGTCACAGTTATTTTGTACCACGCGGGCGTAATAACGATCTCCCTCAATTACTATCTCCTACTCGGCTGACTATACCTTGTTCTGCTCTGTATGTAGAGTTATGAGAGTGAGCCACACCGCACATCACCATTAAGATCACGCAGACGTAAGCCTTCATCTTACTTTCTTGCATACAGTGTCAGCAGCAAGAAGCGACAACACTAACTTTTATGAGAACCCGTGATATTTATGTATCGTTTCTCCCTCCTTCGTGGATCTTTATGAGAGTGTCTTGTTTTCTGTTCTGCACGAAGTAAAACGTGTGCTATCATACGGTAGTGTGAAGACAAATAAAAACCAGACGGATCAAATTGGAATTAATTTCGCCGACACTAATTAAACACGACGTTTTACGACCTCATTTTTCAGTATCGTTCAATGTTGTCCAGTGTTGTTTTATTTTACTTCACATCGATTTTCACGAGACTTTGTTACTGAATTTGATTTTCGGTTCTGTAGGTATGTATGGGCAAAGCATATTTTAAGTATATGCAAAATGCAATATGCAGTCTCCGAACTTTTTTCAGCTTTTGCTAATCGAACATGCTGATTGAAACATTCAGCTCACTTTAACACAGAAAATTTATTGCCGGAAAAAAGCAGTGGCCTGCTATTTTCTCAGCCGGTTAATAGTCTTTCCTCCAGCTGTTAGGCATAGAAACTGAACGAGTCGAAAAAGGAGACCTGTTTGCAGACGATGACAACGATCTATTTTCCGCGACGCTGCTGAAGAGGTTGGTAAAACAACAGCTATGAAATTTGATTGACTCCCGGAGCACGCGTGTACTTTACACAACCCCTTTCCAAAGAAGATTATCGATCGCGTGCTGCGATAGCAGGGGCCTGCCCTGAAAGCTGTTTACCCCTTAATTCCGCCTAGCGCTGGTGCGCGGGATTTAGGCCCAGTATCATAGTGGCTAGTTAGCGTAACTAGTTGTTAAGTAGTGGTGCCAATCACTGATACAAAATTCGGTAAGCTATTTACAAGAGTATATATTATATGTAATCTTGTATATGTAAATGTGAACACTATATGTGTATATATTTTTTAAGCTTATTTGCAAAAATGCAACTCAAAATCTCACCTTGTAAATAGCTTATCGAATCTTGTATCAGTGTTTGGCATCACTACTTAACAACTAGTTAAGCTACCTACTCTCTAAAATTTGTGGAGTGAAAATACTGCCATGGAGTTAATATTCACTCTGTTGGAGGAAATATTTACACCAATAGGGTGAACATTTCACTCCATGGCAGTATTTTCGCTCCACAAATTTTAGAGAGTAGCCACTGTGTTACTGGGCCTTAATGGGCCGCGTGCCGACGCTTATTGATCTCTTGCGTCGGCTGAACATTTCTAGGATCTGTCGATGTCGGGGCGAAATAATACAGTATTTTCCCCAGCGTTGAATGACGGAGCTGATCAAGTCGAAAAAGGGGTGCATCAATGGCAAATCGCGGGGATTCAGCGATCGCGGTTTCTTTCGGTACTTGTCGCGAACGCGTATCAAAAAGGAATACCTAATACAATATGCGGGCATGATCGACTTGTTTTGAAAGTCGCCGCGTTAATTGTCCTGCGTACGGCGTGACCTTGTTTTGCCGAGCGCCGTAGACCGAACGCCGCGCCGGTTCCAAGAAATGACGCAGCGCCGTAAACACCTCGGTTGAAAACTATCTATTGTCATTGCGTCTAATCAGTCGGCGCGGCACAGTCGAGCGAGGAGGGTGTTCCGCGTGTCTTCCCGTCGCTCTTCGCAACGCGATCATCTCCTACGCGAACTGATTATCTTCTACGTAGTCTTATCGGTGGTGGTCGAGGTAAATATCGCGCGTAATTTGAAATAGAAGCGCTCTAATGGAAATGTATATTTTGTGTGATATTTTACTGCATTACAAAATGTGTCGCAATAAGTTACAATGGTTCCATAGATATCAAATTGCATAGCTTTTTGTCGATAATTCCCTCCTCGAGTACTATCTCGCTGCGGTGGCGGGGCTCAAGTACCCTGAAAGATTACTCTCTAAAAATTAATCAGTGTATTATCACTGACTCATTAATAATAAATTTGTTTAATTTACTTACTAATTGATTTTATTTTTCTGATTTCAGCACCAATTTTCGAGAACCATTACTCATCCAATCAAGTTTCGTTATTATATCGTCGCCAATTTAAACGAATCGCAACCGCGCGCGGCGGTTCGTCGTGTCGCGTCGCGTTCGGGAGTGCCGTTTATATAAATTATAATCGAAGTAAAGACTTTTCAAAGTGTGTATCAGTGACAAGTGTAAAATCGCGCGAACGGTCTTTGTGTTTTCGCGAGTGTGCCAGAGGAAAGTCTGAGTGGAGGAGGAGGTCTGGAAAAGGCATCGGGCGCCGGCGGAGCAACTTTATGGTAAATGTTATTTTTAATTTTGTGTAAAATTAATCTTTTCCAATTTATTTTTCAGTCGTTTTATTTCCTAATACTGTAATTTCGAAATAATAATTAGAGAACGAGAAGTAATAAAAAATTTCATTAAAGTTTATTCTCGTAAAGATCTTTTGCGGAAAATGTTCCATTAATTATTTAAACGTTTAATTCATCGAATAACAAGTTTGATACGCATAAAACTTTCTTACATTTTGCAATATTATTTTCTTTCACACTTTAATGAATTCTATTCTTATATGTTACAGAATCAACGTAGACAACTCCGCTGCTGCGCATCTGGTTGGTGAGTAAGAAATTTTTTTTATGAGGTAACGAATCTACAGATCGTAGATTTGTACGTTTTGTAGATCCGTTACCTTTAAAATGGATACGGTACAACGTGGTCAAAATTGGCCACTTTAATGGAATAAGATGATGTACGAATTTCTTTTTATTTGTAAAAATTCGGGTGGGTTATATTCTTATTTTCTTTACATATTCTCGCATATGTGCAAGATTAAAAACTCCCCTATTAAATCCTTATTAAATCGCGTCGCGGTTGTAACGAAAGACTTGTAGATTTATTAACAAAAAGTTGAAACGCGGATAGTAGGAAAGTGGATAGGACTATACAGCGCAATTCGGGTAGGTAGATAGGTAGGTAGGGATTCGAATAGGCAGAGACAGAAGGACATAACTTGATCATTAAAAAGATAGATTAAATTATAACTACAGTGTATTATTATTTAATATAATTATATTTGCTATTATTTTTAATTGAATACTTTTAATAAAATATATTTCTAAGAAAATATTCTTTTAATACAAAACTCTGTAAGTTAATATAATATAAAAAATATAAAAATACAATTATTACAAACAAAAGAGGACCGCCGATAAGAATTCGGCGGGGGTGGAGGAGGGCCTCTACAAGTTGGTCAGTTTTTATCGGATAAACATTTAATTCAAATAAAAAAGAGGTATCATTTCATTTAAAACTAGAAAAATGCAAAGTTTAATTTGTCAGAATGCAATCGTATTGATTGTCCGATATAAACGATCACTCTTGTATGTACAAAAGAATGTTGAAATAATTTTTTAGTGAATATCGAGAACGGTCTGCTACCAATTTTATTGGCAAAAGGAGTACAAGTTTGATACAAAACTATCCCTACATCATGGCTATGTTAATACAAGCATATTTTTGACAGCATTCTGGAAAACTCTTGCCCTCCTTCATGAATTCCATGAGAACAGGTTCCTCCGGATGAGGACAAGTAGGTCGAGAACATCTGGAAAGAAACGGAATCAAATTAGATTAGCAATGGAAGATTTGATACAAAATTTACATTGGCATTGAAATCATGACAGAATCTTGCAGTCGTGCAAATTCCATATGCGAAATACAGAGTACTGTTAAATGTTTAAAGTATGCTAGTGACAGAAGGAAAATATACTTGAAAATGTGAAATAATAATAGACTTTCTATACACAAAATGCTTTTCTTTGTGATACGTCACATTTATTTCAAAGTTTACCTTAAAATCGTCAATTTTACAAGTTAGTACCATACAAAATACATCGTCTCATGGAATTCATGTATTTTCTCTGAGACAGAGTAAAACTCATAAGAAACCTTTTGAAATATCTATAAATAGCTGTTTTCTATACCTGTTTACGAATTTAAAAGTTTGGATAATTGTGTCTCAACATCACACGAAAACATCTATTGTTTCTTATTAAATTTTAGCACGTTCTCTTTTATTGATTTCTAATTTATATGACCAATCGCATATCACTGTCAGCGATTAAGTATCGTGAAAATTTATTAATTTGCGAATATTGAAATAATTGAAAGATCATTGTGTTTTCCGCAGTTTTGAGATTATAAGAGTACCTACACATGAAAAGTATTGAATAGCCGTTATGCACGCATGCATACGTTTATAAAAGAAAAAAAATTTCACTTTGTTATTTTTTGACTGGAATATCTTGTGATACGTGAAATTTTATAACCAGTTCAGTTAAATATATAATGATATGCAATTTACATTACAATTATACATTTATATAAAGTAACTTTAACTTACGTGGTTAACTCCATTCGACCGGCTGTGTCACAAATCAACTGATTGCACCTTTGAACCGTATGTACACCCGGAGGATAAAATTTGCCGTGAAAGTTACAGCCTGAAGTATACATGCATGTTAAAATTTGAAAGTACTATTTGAAAAAAACGATTAAAAAATTTTTATTTACTTATTTTGACATTCTTATTACTTAAGCCAACTGCACACGATACTATTTTTTTTTCTACTGGATTACTTACGAGAGCCAATCTGGATTTAGCTTTAAGTCACCTGATCTAAAACTCCGCATGCTTATTTGTTTCTCGTAAGCAATCCAGTAGGAAAACTGGTATCATGTGTCGTTGGCTTTCGTCACATTGGTTTCATAATGATTATGTACTTTGACAGTCAAGTCTGTTAGAACAGATTTCGTCAAATGCCCACTACAAATTTTGAAGGCAGAAAGACTGCAGATTGCGTAGAAGAACTGATATATTCGACATATTGCCAGTGTGTCAGCATAAATATAACAAAATCCGTTCACATAACTAGATCAGCTCAGTTTCTGCCGACCATTTGTTGACACTCGGGAAAAAAATGTAATTATTTAATCATATGTTCTGATCAATTTGCTGCTGCCAATCTGATGCCAATCTGCTAACATTTTTCTGATTGGGTATGAATACATATATGTATCTAGTTTGCAAATCTATCAATGAATCTATTGTTGAAATATCGAATTCACACATAATGTGTGTACGTGTGTGACAATTCTTTTTCACGAAGTTAGAGTCTTTTGACAGGATGGCAATATCGTTTTGTTCATAAATTGATTAAATTAATCTAGACGCATTTATTTTGCACCATGCGTACGTAATATCGCCCTATCTTTAATGACTATCTGCTAATTGGCAGATTAAGCAATATACCTGGTAATGGAATTTCTGCAGTTCTATATATAGGGTTATAAGAGTAAACTACTCCGCACATTAACAATAAAATGGCACAGACGTAGCTCTTCATCGTACTTCCTTGTTACGTAGTCACGAGCAAGAAACGATACATACAATACTAAAAAGTAAGGGAAAGGCTTTTATATGTCGTTTGTCCCCCCTTCATGGATTTTAGTAGAACATTTGATTTTCTGTTCTGCGATTCAAACCGTGCGTTATCGCAAGTGACGATATCGAGACGATATAAAAGAACAAAGAAGCTCAAATTAGTCTTAACGGCACAAATTAAACACGGCATATTACGACTTCATTGACGAACGTAGAATGATCCAAGAAGACGACGAAGGCATTCGTTGCCAGAATAAAGCAAGAAACTGCTATCTTCTCAGTCGGATAATAGTATTTTTCCCAACGTTAACGACGAAACTGATCGAGTCGAAAAAGGAAATCCTAGGTCTGTTCGCGAACGGTAATCTGGCCCCCTGTCGTTAAGAGTTTCAGAATGTGTCGTTGTCGTTATATTGTCAGTGTGCGTTCGACGTACGATAAGGAAATGAAAGGAGATCACGGAATCACGGAATATATTACACAGCGACTTGTGTATATTAATTATAAACTTACGTGAGTTATTCACGGATGATGCTTAATCGCGCAAAGTCAAATCGAGAAATTCTTCTCTACGTGCTTGATACGACAAAGGTGTCAACACGGTTGCGACAGAACCTGAAAGTTTTTAAATATTTCATCGAATTCTGCATGTAGAGGGCACAGTGGGACACTAAATCAAATTAAAAAAAAACTTTTTCTATGAATGGTATGGGTTTTTTTAATCAGTACATTTTGAAGAGTAAATACTTGTACCTACGGGGGGACATTGAGACAGGTACTGATAAATATAAATTTTGAAATGCAATAGGCACTAATGTCTAAATAAAAATAAAAATATGTTGTACTCAATATAATTGCACAATGACAAATGTTGACAAAACGTTGCTAAATTTAGAGAACAAAGTAATAAAAGTTAAAGCAAAATTATAAAAGATTATTATAACATTATATGATGCCGCACTATTATAAATATTTGGGAAGAATGCAACAAAAATTAACTTTAGCTGAGGCACAATGAGACATCTCATGGTGCTCCCACTGTTCATGTTTCAATGCTTTCTTTCAGATATAATAAAGAAGAAATAAAAATTTTAATTAATATATAAACATCTAAGTACGTATTAATACACAGAAAAGCGTATTCAAATTATGTTAATAATATTTAAATCACTAAATATCTTATCTTAAGAATCTGTGCGCATTAATAATAATAATGAGTGAAAATAAAAAATAAGTGAAAGAAAAGGAATTAAATAGATACAGGAAAATGAAAAGGATACTTGCAAAAGCTTGGATGAATGAAAGTGTCGAGAGCCAGAATTTTTCAAGATAAAAAGATACTTCTCTACACTTATTTACTCGTCGCAAGTTCTTTTATTTTGTCTTCCTGCAATTTACACGTTTAATGTGTCAGATTGTTAGGGGATAAATCCCGCGTCTGTATTGCATAATTGAAACACAACGAATTGCCCACGCATCTTACATGCTACGATAACGTCTACGATTGCGAGTATTAGCATCCGCTGTTTGCCCTCGGGGAAAGAAAGACCACACTTACGATTAATAGTTACCCGGCTGGTCAAAGCGATCGCTCTCACATTAGATTAAAAAATTTGTGCTAACGCTAGAGTATCGCCTTATTCTTACTCGATCAAAAATACCGCAGACTGAATTTCAAAAGAAGATATGTTAATAGGATGGTGTAAATTGTAAAAAATGGTATCAGGGATCACATTAATCTTTAGACTGTTATTTTTTGTTAAAATAGTGGGTTTCCCCATAAATTTATTTATGTAAATAAACACATTATGCACAATTTTGAGATTTGTTCGGAGTAGCAAAAGTTTTGTCGTTGGGCAAGGAACGGATTGCCCAATTAAAAAGTTTTGTTTTTTAAAGGTAGTTTATAAGGATTTTCGATATAGCTGATTCCACTTCTGCATAGCGTATAGATTTATTAAAATATTGATAACATGAATATCACGTCTAGGGTCATGCAGAGAACTTTCCTCTACCATTACTCAGAGCTAACTACGTGAAAGTTTGTAGTTCCTCTTTAACATTTGAATTTTTTTTCTTATGTTTAATTTTTTTCGTATTTTTTAATTCGGCGGTGAGCAGAAAAAGAGAGAGTTACACAAGTAGTAAGGATGCCAGTTTTGGTTCTCAGCTTGTGACAGGATTTATATGGACCCCGGAAGGTCAATCATATCAAAACACTTCAGCGATGGACAGCATTCTGGAAATTTAGTGCCATTTATGTCGTTAAACTCGATAACGGGGTATCCTGGAGGTCGACACTTGATTCTTGGATTCATATGGCAACTGGCAAAAAATGGAATAAAAGTATAAGGTTCCGAAAGGATGAGTTGATAGAAAATTTAAATTTGCATTGAAGTTGTGGTAAATATTGCAGATGTGCAAATTCTAAATCGGAACGACCTTAGTTATTTATCATGTATTAGAAATGTATTAGAATAGAATCCTGTTTATTGGTGGATGTGAAATGATGAGGGATTTTCTACGCGAGAATGCATAAAATATGATATATTGCAAAAATGCACTTTGTGAATTCCTCACGTTCGTTATACATCAAAACTTACTTTAAAGCTGTTACCTTCACGGGTTTGTTAGAGCATTATCATATGAAATAGATAGTATTCTAGAAACTATATGTTTTGTCTGACAATGAGAGGTAAAATAAAAATTATATAAAATTAATTTTTTTAATTTCTACAAATAGCTTTTTCTTGTAACCGCTTACAAAAAAGATAGTTAACGAATTGAAAATGAAGTCTCAGCATTACACAAAAATCTATTGTTTCTTTTTTAAATTTCAGTACGTTCTGCTCACTTAATTTTTATGACCAATTACATATTCTTGTCATTAGTTACTTTCCGTGAAGATAATTAATCTACATTAACCCAAGATAATCAATGAAGATAATCAGATTGTCACGTATTTGTCGTTGTTCTCCCAATTACAATAATAGACGTGAAAAACCATCAATTGCGTGCACGAAAGACGGAATTTTACTTTATTAATTTATTTAATGGAATTTGTTGTGAAATTTTGCAGTCAGTTAAGTCAAATATATTACGATACAATTTGTACAGTTATATAATTGCAAAATATTTTGGCTTACTGTTCGATTATGGAATCACCATCGGGATAACATTTCAGCACTCTGCAGGGTTGATGAAGCGTATGTACGCCCTCCGTATAGAAAAGACCTTCATAGGCACAATTTGCCGCTAAAAGCATATACGCGTGTTACAATCTAAAAATACTATTTGAAGAATACGATTTGAAACAATTCATTTATTTCCACATTTCCATTAATTGGTCATATTGATTTCGGAATAATGATACATAGCCATCTAGTTTGCAAATCTGTTAATGAATGTGTTGTTGTGTGGCAATTGTTTTTTCGTAGCAGGTCTTTGACGAGAGTATTAATAGAAATATCACGCTTGTTAATTGAGTGAATTAATGTAGACGCACTTATTTTGCGGAGATAAGCTGTATGTAGTAAAATCTTATATACATATAAGACCGTTTTAGGTTTATCTTAAGGTGCTGTATAGAACGTGTCATTGGCCTCGGAGTATCCAAAGATAATCTTAAAACAATCCTAAATATAATATCTGACGATGAATACCGCCCATAAATATCTCCCTACCCTCAATGGCCTAGTTTACACCGTGCGTTTAGGTCGTTACCTATTCCTTATATTCGACTTATTTACGATAGATCGTGACGGTAAACAATAGATAAACGACTCGACCTGACTTGAGTCAAGTCTTTTTTTCGCTTGCCCTGACCTGACGTTGGCCGCGCGATATAACGCATGTAAACGCAGGTGGCCTAAAATTTCTCAAATTTAAAGAGATGACATTTGGTTCATATTTGGACTCAGAAAGTAAACGTAAAGTAAAGTAAACGTTTCGTTTGTAAGCTTATTTTCCGTTAGGGTATAGATCAGGTTGCGCGAACAAAACGGGGTGTAAACTAGGCCACTAACAGTCTCCTAGTCGACTATGCACTATACCTAGGTTTATGCTGACGACTCCTGAATCCTGATATGTTTCGCAATTAGAGTACGACATCACGCACATTAACAGTAAGATGGCACAGGCGTAATTCTTCATTTTCTTTCTTGCTTACGGAGTTACCAAGAAAAAACGAGAATACTAAAATTTAAGAGAAACTGGGACCTTTATATGTAATTTCCCCTTCCTTCATCGATCTTAAGTAAAGCATCTCGTTTTCGGTATTAAGCAAACCAAATGTACGTATCGCAAGTTACGATATCGCGAAGATAAACAGAAGAAATGTTAAAAATTAGCGTTTCTTTTATTAGCACTAATTAAACACTGTGTGCTACGATCTCGGAAGTTCAGTATCGTTGAATGTGGTACACAGTTATCTCATTTTCTTCCACATTATGTTCGCGTTTTTTGCGAGATTTTGTCGCTAATTTGATTTTTGATTCTGTATGTACGCGCGAAGCACGTTTTATGTATACACAATACGTGCTCGGGTGGAAATCTTTTTTCAGTTGTTGCATAATTGAAGATCCCGATTTAAACGTTTAGCTTGTTTTGACACAAATGGTCCAAAAAGACGACGAAGTCGTTCATGGCCCGCAGAAAAGCAAGAGACTGTTATTTTTTCAGCTAAATAATAGTCTTTTCTTTAGAGACTCACAATCAGTGTAAAAGCTACCCGGTTCGAAGTAGTAGACCTTAAATACGTTCGTAGACGATAGGTAGCAATTTATTTTCCGCTATGCTGTTGAAGAGGTTGATAATATTTTACTTGTATTTTATTAGTTCACAATATGTGTCACACGTTTATAATATAAGGCGTGTTATATGTTGGAGAACGGAGCGATCAATTCGCAAAAAAGTACAGAAAATTTTCTTTCTTATTCTAGCCTTGATAGTTTACATATTAAAAAGGAGGCTGTAAATACCTCTAGAAATATTAATAAATCGATCTATTTTCCGTCAAAAATAAAATTGAGACATGATGGTGCAATTTGCACACTAAATTCGGTTTTAGAGCGTTAAAATAAATAAAATCTTCGTTTCGAACATAACAACTTTTTGTGTGCCTGCGTAATTTATATAATAATAAAATAATGTTCAGTCTTCTTTTAAAATTAAAAATTAAAAAAATTGTATACATATAAAATTGCAAATGTACAAATGTATATTGCAAACATAAATCTTTTATTTATAGTTAAACGAAAGTAAAGAGAGAACAAGAGAGAGAGAGAGAGAGAGAGAGAGAGAGAGAGAGAGAGAGAGAGAGAGAGAGAACAAAAAAGAAAGAAAAGCTAAGATCGAAGTGGTCGCTTCTCGGCTCTGTTAGCTAAGATAGAATATGTCGCATCTTGGCTCTCTGAGTTAAGATCGAAGTAATCGCTTCTCGGCTCTTTGAGCTAAGATGGAATTGGTCGCTTCTCGGCTCTGTTAGCTAAGATCGAAGTAATCGCTTCTCGGCTCTTT